CTCCACCACACTCGGTGTTGACTCTTGTGAGGCAGCCATCTCTGCCACTGCTGGGGAGGGAGGAAGCGACCCCCAGAACATGTGCTAAAGCCATGAAGAACCCCGTCTTTTCCACTCCCTGGAAGGACCCCCCGTCAGTCCCACCAGATTGGTAAGTGCCACAGCTCCTTCTGATGTCCCCATGTGGAGCCGTCCAGATGACGCCCCCACTCAATGAGGTGAATCACCGGCCATATTGCCCAGACCCTCTTTTTCTTGACCAGCATGTGGTACACTCGTTGCTCCCTCCCCTTCGTGTGTGTGAGCTGCAGGGGACTCAAGAGAAATTCTCCCCTGAGAAAAGGTCAGACTCCTCCTCTGGAAATGAGTCCCCAGGCTCTAAATTACATCTCCTCCCCTGGGGCTGGGCTCCATCTGAGCCTCCATCATGGTCTCGGATTCCCAGGCCCACATCACCAAATCCAAACACAGGGGCGAAGGTCTTCTGGAGGCAGCTGCTAAAAACTCAGTCCATCCAGCTAAAACACGTGCAGCACTCGAGGACCTTGGAGGTTAAAAGTGTAGTTGGGAATGCCACACACGGTGAGGGTGGTGGCCTGGCTGGTCCAGCCAGAGGATGGGTGTGTCAGTGTCCTATGAGGTCAGGACCTTCAACCTCTAGTATGTTGCTGCTGGGGACACAGAGGGGGCAAGCAACTCCATGCAGCCGAGCAGCCTGCCCAAGCCGGCCTGGGAGGTGAGTCAGGAAAGGGCCAGAGGGAGAACAGCCAGCTTGGCAGACCCAGAGGCAGCCAGGGTGGTGAGCAGGTGCTCAGGTTGGAGAGAGAAGACCCCTGGCCCGCCCAGTCTGCCCGGGGGCCGGGCAGCGTTGCATCTGGTTGCCATCAGATGAGACGTTCTCAGGACAAAGAGAAGCCAGGGGGTGGGCGCTGCGGTCAATCTCACCCCCGACCCCCATGCCATCCCCACCTCCCAGACACCTGGGCCCGGCTCGGGCGAGGCGACCCTGTCGGAGACTGCACTGCTCAGCACCTGGCCGACGCGGACAGCAGTGTCCCCAACGTGCAGGTGACCAGCTCATGCCCTGCCAGCGAAAGGAAGCAACTTCTGGGCAGTTGCAGTTAAGGTGCCAGGGACCCCACGAGCACCCGCTCTCTGAGCGGCCCGTCGCCCTGGGTGCCCAACCCCCGCCAGCCGGCACGTCCACAGAGGAGTCCAGGGAGGTACGCGCCGTTGGTATATTCCATCCAGGACCCACTGTCGTGTCTCTTTTGAGTGAAATGGGGCAAAAGCAGTGGACTGTTTACAGGCTGGGCCCCTGACCCGGGTGTCCCCTCCACGTCTAGGACATCAGACACATCCCCGACTTGGACGAGGAGGCTGCCCCCTCCACGGCGACCCCCTTCATGTCGTCGGGCATCTGCCCGTCAGAGCGCCACACATTCAGTTCCCCAAAGACGCCCGTCTCGATCATCTCCTCCTGCCAGGGGATGGAGCAGCTGCCAGTGGCAAACTCCTGGAAGAATTCCGCGTCCGCTTTGTCAAAGGCCACCCCTCTGACCGTGGAGAAGGCACCCACATCCTGGATGTTCTTGGCATAGACGGTCCTGGAGTCTGGGATGAACGGGGGTATCAGCATTCCTGTCAAAAGACAGAAAACACCGCGTGAACCGGCGAACGGTGGGACAAAACACGTTTGCTAAAGAACCGTCCCCGCTAGGCTAGAGCCGCACAGAGCACGCACCCAGGTGAGAGCCCCGCAGGGTGCAGCCTGGATAGCATCGGAGAGACGGGGCCTCGTCTGCGTCCTCCCCCGCCTCCCCACAGCCGGCATGAGGGACAGCGCGTTCTACCCGCACCATCTCCTCCCTCACACCCGAGCCCACCTCTCTGCAGACCCCAGAGCCCATGCCCTCGCGCCAGCCTCCCCAGGCATGGCTGTCTGCAGGTTGGATGCCTGGAACCCACACGCTCAGAACTGAAGTCCACATCTTCTTTCCAAGGAGGCTTCTCTCCCTGACCTGCTCAGGAGCCGCGACTCTCCAGTCGCCAGACACAGAACGTTAGTCGCCCACGACTCCCACTCAGGCCACCGTCCTTCCTCTCTCTCACCTTGTCCCTCCTCAGCACAGGCCCTGGGCCTGGGCAGCCCTCATGGTGTCCTGCCAGACCATTGCAGTGGCCCCGGGACTTGCTTCCCAGCTCCAGCTCCCCGGCTCCAGCTCCCCGGTTCTGATCTGTCAGAGCTGCCTGACCTCACTCCATCCCGGGCTGGTCCTGATGGCTCCCCTGGTGGAGCCCACCTTCCGGTCAGCTGGGAGCTGCCTCTGCTCTGACCCTTCCCTGCAGAAGTGACTCCTCCTGCTCACGGCTCTGTCCCAGGGGCTCCTGCACGTGGTCACAGGCTCACAGACCCCAGCTGTCAGTTCTGGGGCTATGGCTGTGTCCTATGCCTCTCACTGCAAACACACATGCACATGCACACGCATGCACACGGGATCATGCACATGACACTTGGCGACAAACACTGGTTGAATGACCGAGCTTCTCCCAGGCAGACATCTCCAGGACCCTGCCGTGCCGTGATTGGGGCTCCTTCAAGGACGGGGTGTGGAAACGGAAAGCACAGGTTTGGAGCTTTGGTCCAGGGGTCAGCCTGAGTCCCTACTCATCCTCCCAACCTGCGGCCACCGGCAGGTTTCCCAAGAGGCCTGTCCGTCAGTGCCCAGCCCGGGGCGCGGCGGGGACGAACCCGCAGAGGACTGCAGGGAGGGGCCGAAGGGTGGCTCTCGGGAAGCGTCACCCACACAGCCCTGCTCTGCTGACATCGCCACTAAGCTGAGGAGACGCCAGTGGGATGGGTCAGGCAAGCAAGGGCACCTAACAGACCAGCCCAAGGCCCCCAGGCCCACAGGCGACGTACCGGCCTCGAGCTGCCTCCAGCTCAGGTCCTTGAAAAGGGCGCTGGCGCGGAGCCCGTCGCACGTCCCGTCACGGAAGCCCAGACGCTTCTGGGGGTCCTTCTCTAGCAGTGCCGCACAGAAGTCCTTGCTGGCCTGGCTGAACTTCTCCGGGTACGCGACCGGCTCCGAGAGGATCCTCCGCTTCAGCTCCGTGTTCTCCACCTGCACGCGGACCCCCACACCACGCTAAACCCTGCCGGACCCACCAGCGTCGCCCAGCAGTCACGTCACCTCAGGGGGGCGGCCCCCCCAGTCCTCTCAGCCGGGCAACCCCTCGCACGGGCAGAGGTGACCACAGCACTCGGGGGCCCCCTTCCCGCACAACAGCATCTCAGGGCAGAGGAGAGGACCCACAGGCGCCAGCAAAGCTGGGGTGTGGTGTACTTCAGGGACCCTGGTGGACAGCTCAGCACACTCACACAGCCAGTCCTTACCCACTGGAGGAAAAGAGAGTCAGCCTCACGGAGCCCACGTGGACGGAACCCTGAGGGGGAGCCTCGCGCCTGATTGTGGACCCGCTCTATGGACTGTGATTGACACACCACAAGACTCCATGCTCAGTGATGTGTGAAGAGCTTCAATCAATCTCCAGTCACCCCAGAGTGCCCTGTGCCCTCTGACCATGTCTTCCCCCGACCTCGGGCAAACACCGACCCCTTTCCTCTCACTCTAGACTAGATTTGCCTTTCCTAAGACTTCACAGAAATGGAGTCATCCCAGTGACTCGCCCAGGTCTGGCCTCTTTCATTCAGCGTGACAGGTCTGGGGCCCATCAGCGTTGGGCTGTATCCAAGGTTCTTGCTTCCTGTCGCTGCTGCAGTGGGGTTCCATGGTACCATGGACCACGGATGGCCCACGGTGAGCTCCTGGAAGGGCACCCCATGAAAGCTCCTCTTGCTCGTTTGCACACAGAAAGCAGGGGTGCCAGTCAGGCTGCAGGTCACTGAGAGCTCTGGGGTAGGAGCTTCTGTGGTGGCCCGAGGCCGGCCACCTGCAGTGGACCCCACACCACAGCTCACGTTGCTCCTGTGAGCTGTTGGTGGTCGGGAGAGACACAGGGCGACTCGGGGTGCTAGGCGTGTGAGGACTCTGCTCTTGGAAGACTAGGATCTTGTTCGCTCCACAACTGTCTGAGGGGACAGGAGTGGGGGCCTGGGAGGGACACACTAGGAGGGAGGGACACGCTAGGAGGGAGGTCCAGGCAGAACAAAGCAATGGACATGACCCCCAGACAGGCCGAGCAGCCGTGGCGTGGGCCAGAGAGGTGCTGCGTCTAAAGATGGCCCCGCACACCAGGCCCTGGAGGCCCCGCCTCATCCAGCCTCTTCCCGGTTCATGTCACGTTCCCTTCAAACAAGGGCCATCACATCTCTGAGCCAAGTCAGCATTTGATGAAAGGGAGGAGGCCAGGTTTGCTCTATTCATTTTGAATGGATGGTCAGGCCTTCTGGTGGGCTGGAGCAGAGCACCCCCAGGGATGCCCAGGCAGACTGCATAGGAGAGGAACGAGGGGTGTGGAGGGCCTGGGGTCAGGGCACAGCCATGCTATGTCCACTTCCCTCAAGGACATGCAGAAGTGCTGCTGTGCTGAGAGCGGGGCCTGCAGGCTCTTAGCATCGTGAGTCTGCAATGAAGGGCACAGAGGCCGTGAGGGGGTGGCCTGCACCACGTCCTCACCAGAGTGCCTGGGCCCAGGGGGCTAAGCGCTGCTCATTGGGGTGGGTTTGGGGAGCCCCAGGCACCTGTCATCCTGAAACCCTCCTTAGTGTCAGAAGATACATGAGATGAGGTCACTGTGTCCCCTCTCCTTCCCCCCAGGAAGGACCTGCCAGGAGAAGCCTAGGGCTCAAGATTTGAACAGCTCCCACAAGGGAGGATCATCACCAGCTCAGCCGCAGGGGCACCTGCTCCTGTGACCCCAACAAGGAGGGTCACAACCAGGTCACCTGCAGGAACTCCTGCTCCTATGACCCCAACAGGGAGGGTCACCACCAGGTGAGCTGCAGGAACTCCTGCTCCTATGACCCCATCAGGGAGGGTCACCACCAGGTAAGCTGCAGGAACTCCTGCTCCTATGACCCTGAACAAGGAGGGTCATCTTCAGGTCAGCTACAGGGACACCTGCTCCTGTGACCCCAACGAGGAGGGTCATCTTCAGGTCAGCTGCAGGAACTCCTGCTCCTATGACCCCTACAAAGAGGGTAATCTCCAGGTGAGCTGCAGGGGCACCTGCTCCTAAGACCCTCAACAAGGAGGGTCATCTCCAGGGCAGCTGCAGGAGTACCTGCTCCTATGACCCCAACAGGGAGGGTCATCTCCAAGTCAGCTGCAGGGACTGCTGCTCCTATGACCCCAACAAGGAGGGTCACAACCAGGTCAGCTGCAGGGACTGCTGCTCCTATGACCCTCAACAAGGAGGGTCATCTTCCGGTC